CCATTCGAAGACAGACGCGAAGGTGTGTTTTCATAACAACAAAAGAGTAATAAAGCAAACAATCACAGCGAGCGTATCGGTGTTCCGAGTCGTTCTTAGCTCATATTCTAAGGGAAGTTGAAGCCGAAACTCTTGAAATTCTGACCATGCCATACAAAAATAAAAGGGGTAAAGAACCGAATACGGAAGAGGCTCCTTGAGACCATCGTTTTTTTGTAATTGTGCTCCTGGGTAGCTTTCAAAATCATGCACGAAGAAGCAACAGTCTTTTGTAAACATCATGTGAAAAAGAGGTGGATAAAGCTGCTGGAAGTCAGTGTAAATGGCCTGAATTGACCGTTAATTTAAATGAGCGTGCTGTGAATGGCTATGTTTTTGAATAGCTGTCGTATTACACATTTCCTTCTATGGATCTATGTATGTATTCACATGTGAATAAAGATGCGCTGGAGCATTTTTTCTATGTGCATTGTAAGCTTTATTTGTCCTGCTTTTCATCTAAATGCACAGCTTACAGGTATTTGTTTTAGCTACTCACTACCATAAAGGTACTATGTTCATAGTTATGTATGTGTTCATCAATGCGATTCATTGGCAGTTCTTTTGGTATTTTTTTTATTTATTATAAGAAAGCAATATCTAGTTGAGCTTTAGTCTTAGGTTAATGTTTTGAATTAAATATTAATGAAATACGCTTCGAAGTGTTGCTTCCTTCAAAGTAAATTCTTTTTTGTTGCTTTGAAACTAAAATTAGAATTCAAAACAATGATATTTTGTTTCCTGAAACCAATGAGAAAAAAAATGGGGCGTCTAGCATTGTTGATCCTTAAAGCGAAATATTTCTGAGGAACAAAAAAAGAAGATTAACTAATGAACCTCTTTCATCTTTTTATTTCTTAAGATAATAAAAGTAAAGTTTCTTAAGTCATGATTAAATCATATTCTATTGGCATCCTGTAGAAAATGATACGAAATTTGTACATTAGAAGTCGAAATTTTTTTCTTTTCTTAATTAGTTTCCTTTTAATGTTAATCATATGTTTAAAAAGAAAACCTATTTTTTAATTTCATTTTATTTTTAGAAGCTTATTTTTTGGTATTTTTTTAAATATTGCTTTTTTAAATTTTTTACTTAAGTTTTCTTTTAATTTTTAGATAGTACTGTTTTAAAACTAAAAATCATTTTTTTTTATATGATTTTTGGGATCTTATTCTCTTTTTTTAAATTAAATTGTATTTTTTATTTGATTTTCTTTTAATTTTTAGCCCTTTTTAAGAAAAGTATGTATTTTTTAATTTAATTTGATGTTTAGAAACTTATTTTATTCTAAAAACAAAAAGATTTTTTAGTATAGTTAAATATTTAGAAAATTATTTTATTTTGTTTTTCGTTTTTTTTAGATAGTAATTTTTTATTTTTCTAATTTAGTTTTTTATTCGCTTTTCTATTAAATTGTTTGCCTTTTTAAATTTATTTTTCTTTTACTGTTTAGGTTCTTTTTATAAAGAAAAGGTATTTATTAATCAAGTTTTATTTATAGAAAAAACATTTATATTATTTATGTTATTTTTTGTTTTTTGAATATATATTTTTTTAGTTTTTTGGTTGGGTTTTCTTTTATTTTTAATTGAAATAATTTTTTTTATCTAATTTTTTTAATTAGTTTTCTAGAAAATTATTTTATTTTTTTCGCATTTTAAATCTTTTTTTAGGTTATTGATTTATTTTAATTCTTTTTTATATTTAGATTTTACGGTTTTTAGTTTTTAAGATATTCACAAAATAAATATGTATTGATAATAAAAAGTTGATGTGCAGGCAAAAGACTTAGTCTTAATTTGTACAACTTGTGAATATTAAATAAATAAATAAATAAATAAATAAATAACTTCTGTATTATTAAATTTTTAGGAACTTATTTGCTTTTTTTAATTTAATTATACATTTTATTCCATTTTCTTTTAATTACACAGACCTCCTTTTAAAAAAAATAGCAATTTGGGTGAAAAAATTCCATCAGCTAAATTTTCAGAGAAAATTACTTTTTTAATTTTTCATAGTGTTATCGCGTATAACTAGCGCAACCTCCAAAATTACATTAATTTATGAGTATTTTTAATTAATATTGGGTTTTCAATAAAAAGGCAAATCTAAACTACGTAATTAATTTTTGGCCTCTCATGCAAATTGCTAAAAATCATAAAATATATATATATTCTAAAATATACAAGCAAAGATGTATTTTAATTTAACATACCGATTCCCAGTTTCAACAATCACTTATACAATTTATCAGACTGCTAAATTAAAAAATGACTAATTATCCGAAAAAGGGGCCATTTTCAATTTTAACAGGCTGATAAAATTAAAACTTTTTGGTGCAATCGTTCACTAGATATTTCAGAAAATAACATAATTATTGGAGGAAGGGAAAAAGTTAAATTTCGCAGGCCCGTGTTATTAGCTTTTATCGTTTTAGAAAAAAAAAAATTTTAATTCAATTTAATTTTTAGAAACTTATTTCTAAAATGCAGAATAACGATAAGACCTCCTCTTTAGCAGTTTCTTCAATTAGTAAATTAGTCTTTCGAAAGACAGAAAAGAGCTTTGAAAATAATTGACAATTGTCTTACTAAAGACTTTTGTCTTTCGAAAGACTGTGGGGAATTGGAAGACAGTTGCCAGCATTGCAACTCATACGCCATGTTTACCCCTTCCTCATACAACATGGGCGCCAATTTATTATAGTACCTACTTATAAACATACATAAGTATGTATGTAAGTACACACATCGCTTAAGTATATTGATTTCTTATTTTGCAACTGAATATTTTTAACTAAGATCGAAGCTAAATCCAAGCTCTTAACTACTACTCCTTGGCGACGACTTATTTACTTGCTGCCACTCTAATTACAAACTTTTATGCCTACAATGCAGCAGTAATTTTCTAACTTATTTCTTCTTAAATTACCGACAGTAAAGCTGCCAACTCCCACTTCACCATCCATTCCAAACTTTTCACAGCGATTCTTTTGTTGTTTGCCAGACTGCAAAGCGTTCGGAAAATAAGTCACTTACAAACACAAAAACGAGAAGAAAAAAACAGCAGAAATTCAACTGTCAGCAGTGCCAGGTATTGCTGACGGCATGCAGCCGAATGCGCTC